ATAAACGCCACAAATTTATAAGTCCTGCGCCTTAGACCCTTTTTTCATTTTTCTTCGTTCACCCAATTTTCAATCCCGCCTTTTACCTAAACCCATCTGCTTCACTACCATTTTTACTCTATCTCTGATTTTGATTCCCTTATCCACATTTCCCCCAACTTTCAAATCCTCGTTTCATTCTGCAAAATTTATCGTTAACACCATCATCAGTCGTTGTTGTTCTTTTTATTTTGATTTTGATTTTGATTTCGTGGCTTTGGGTTTTGCTTTGGACTTTGGTTTTATCAGTTCAAGGTCACCCTTTGCTTTGCTGCTTATTTCTCACTGCTATAAATAATGACTCTCTTTGTTCATTTGTTTTTCCATTCCATTTAGTTTCAACGAAGGCAGAATCAGGAGAGAAAATGAAGTACGTGCTTGTTCACCCCCACCGAGTCGGTTATGAGCGCAGCTTCTACAATGAGTTCTGCTTAAGCGCTCTCTGTGTCGAGCATGGTTTTGTTTCCTGCACTTTCAAAGTCTTTCCTCGCCTTATCGTAAGCTGTCCCCAATAAAACCCTATCTCAAGTTCCCTGGAATTAGAATTCTATCAGATCTGTCTTCATTTCTTTTTGTTGAATAAATTAACTTTGGTAGGATAAAAATGGGAATTTAGCAGCGGGGGCCATTTCGTTTTTGGGAACTACTAAGTTCAATAATGAATTTCTAGCTCCTTTACTGTAGTGGGTTGCTTTTAATTTAGTACTGATAATGTCTTACGATGCATCGAGTGCTTTCAGAAAGTCATTCACATCTGTTAATTATTTCTTGATTTTGGACGTATTTTATGCTGCTTGAATCGGTTAGCCGATTTGATCATGAATTAAAGTAGCCTGAGTTTTTCACCATCTGAATTTGGACCAATAGAAAGATATGCTAATTGAAAATTGTAACAAAGGACGCGAGATCGGGTAATGTGTTTACCAGTTAGGTTTTTAATTTGATTCATCCTGGGTTTCAAATCTTCTTTGGATTTGAGTTAAGGGGCTTTAGATTGTTGATTTCTATGATCAAATCGAGTTGAGTTTCGTAGTTTTTTTGGTTTCGAGTCAGAATTTGCAGGTCTAAACTTATATCACGCCTCTTGTTTTGAAGCTGAATGAAGAATTGAAAGAATATGTTTCTATAATCCTACTGGTTTTTCTGTAGTTGGTTCTCTTCAGTCGTGTATTATGATCCATTGCAGATTATAATCCCACTGGTCTTTCTTCTTTCACATTAGTTAATCTGTTTCTATGAGAGTTTGGTTATTCTGCTTTTAATACGATTGGAGGCCATTTGCAGGATGAGTTAGAGATTACCTAAAATGTTTTAGGATAAAGAGGAGGTTATGATGGAACAATTGTTCTTGTTAGAAACAAAGCAACAAGGGAGTTAATTGTTGAAGGTCGGTATTCGTTGCTATTATTACCTATTTACCTTGATCAACTAACTTAATATTTGATGGGACATATCTAAAATCTAGTTATACAAATATTCCCTTAAATTCAATTAGATTTTTTTATCACTGCAGAATGCTGATGGTGGTTTTGCTACATATGAGCTGAGAATATCCTATCAGTGGTTGGATGTAACTGCTTGATACGTATATGGCCTTATAATTTATTTGAACTAGGGGAAATGAAAGAAGAGGAAAACTCTGCTTCTTGAGATGAAATCATTGTTTAGGAAAGATGGAGTTAACATATGTGCAATATACTGTTTGTTTATGGTTTAACGCTTACGTTACTATTATTAATTATTCTTAGAACAATTTAACCTTTATAATTGTTAATTTTTTTTTGCATTTTGTAATGTGGCCTGTATAATTGCACTGTTTCATGTTTCTCCCATTTTAAGTTGATCAACCCTGCTGAAACTTTTGGCGACATAGTTATCGACTACCTGTAAGTTCTTAGCTTACTTCATTTTCTATATAAGTCATTTTTTTATAATTGATTACATTATGATTTGATGTTTATGGAGTGGAAACATAGATATGTTGAATGCACCTCAGCAGCAATTCAGGCACTAGCCTCATTCAGGAAATTATATCCTGAACATAGAACAGAAGAAATTCAAAATTGTATTGGTAGAGTTGTTGGGTTTATCAAAAAGATGCAGGCAGAAGATGGCTCCTGGTTCGTTTAGAACTATTCCATAATCTATATCTTTTATGTGTTTACTTTGTAATTATTTGTCTTTACAGATTCTGCTACTTCGAGCAATTCTTCAACATGGCAAACTCAGTATCCATTACTGAAGAACTTGTTTTGTGCTGTCATTTTTTGCTAGGTATGGATCCTGGGGCATCTGCTTCAGTTATGCAGGATTCATTTACTTATAAAAAGGAGATGCAAAGCAAGAAGTTTGATACTTGATTTTAGGAATTTACTAATTTAAATATTGATTCTTTATTCTTATGAATTTATATTAGAATATTTATTTTTCTTAATTTTTTTTATTTCCTTATTCAATAATCCTAATTTATGGTCACAAAGATTATAAATCCAATAAATATGTAATGTCGTATGGTTATTTTTTCTCAGGCGATAAAGTATAACAAAAGGCCTTTTGGAAATGGTTTGAAGTATCATCCTATAAATATGAGAATTGTTTGAGGTTTTCAATAAGAATTTACTTAGAGCATTAACAAAAGCTCAAATACAGACTCATCGCGGCTATTACAGGAACTGTTGGTTATGCTGGTTATCTCTCTTACAATAAGTATTTTTTTCTTTTGATTAAGATTGGGTCATTTGTGATTTAATTTTTATTACAATTTAAATGTGGGTTTTTAATATGATTAAAAATGTATATATTTTTAAAAAAAATTTAATTCGTTTTACAGAGTGTTCATACGAGGAAGTAGATCAGAAGGCAAAGGCATTGCGGGCTGCTGCAAGTTTTGCTCCTAGTGAAAATGCATTTGTTGTTGGTGTATGTTTGAGTTTGTTTGGAATTTTATCATTTTTAAATGAATTTCATCATTTTTAAATGAATTTTCTCATTTTAGCTTAGTATTTGAATAATGTTGTTCTAATTGTTCAATCTTTTTTAGTCAAATTACAAGAAGTTGTTCTAATTGTTTACCATTTAATTCTTCGATTTGAATTTTGTAGGAATGATCTTGCGGATGGATTATTGGATAGGCTTTAAGTAGCAAATTTCTGGTTGCTTGTCTTGAGGACATTCATATATCATGTGTTTCTTAGTGTTGGTAGGACTTTTTTTATGTGTTTTAATCAACTGTCCTAAACATTCTCTTACATAAGCAGTATTTTGGTGTCTAAACTTATGTAACGTCTAGCTTGATGTTTCAGTACCCAACGAAGATTTATTTATTTAACTTGGATGTTTGTAAACTTTGATTTTTTTTATATTTTTATGTATTTATACTTAATTAGAATCGTAATGAAATTTAAGATGGTTAATGGATATTGTTACAGCTTCAATTTTGGTAATACAAAATTGGAAGAAGATATGTTGAGAAGCAATTTCGATTAGCGGCATTTTAGGGGAAAACGCCACTAACATAGTGCATAATTGGCGGCATTTGTTCTAAAAAAGCCGCTATAGAACTGACCTTTTGCGACGTTTATATATTAAAAAACGCCGCTATAGCTCTGACCTTTTGCGGTGTTTGTTCCGAAAACGCTGCTATAGATTCTGACCTTTTGCGGCGTTTGTTCAAAAAACGCCGCTATAGATCTGACCTTTTGTGGCATTTGTATATAAAACGCCGCTATAGAACGACCTTTTGCGGCATTTTGTTCTAAAAATGCCGCTATAGATCTGACATTTTGCGGCGTTTGTTTTGAAAACGCCGCTATAGATCTCTATCTTTTGTGGCATTTGGTTCAAAAACGCCACTATATATATCGACCTTTAGCGGCATTTGTTCCTAAAATGCCGCTATAGATATCGACCTTTAGCGGCGTTTGTTCCAAATAGATCTTGACCTATTACGGCGTTTTTTGTTCTCAAAACGCCGCTAACTTTAGCGGCGTCGGTATGACCGGCGCTTCTTACGGCGTTTTTCCAATCGCCGTAAGTACTTTTAGCGGCGCTTAAAAATGCCGCTATAGGACTAAAAAATGCCGCTAAAACTCTGTTTTGTTGTAGTGGCGATATGTATAAATTTAGTGGTGTTTGCTTTGAAAATGCCGTTATATACCTATTTTGTTGTAGTGTGTATCAACAGTGGTTAATATAATTTTGAGTACTCTTTTCTTCTTCAGTAGTCATAATGGGACTTGGTTCGATTGAGTTCGAAGGGGTTTTTTTTAAAGAGGCTTTCTTTTCTTTTCTTTTTTAAAAAAAACTATAGTTCAAGTATCAATTTAGCTCAAAAAATTTAAAATTAAATTTATTATATACTCTTTATTTAAAATTTTTGGACGAGTCAATGATTCGATGTCATGAGTCAATGTTCAAATAAAAGAATTTGAAAGATGGCATTTTTTTAATATTTTGATGTTCATTTTAAGGTTCATGTCTTGAGTGTGTGATTATCTACTCAAATAATATCGTTTTTAAGATACAAACATGAGACAATATGATTATCAACACTCGTAATATCATCTTTAATACTCACTATATATTTAATACTATAAATATGATTAGTTGAAGTACAACATTACAAATTAATACATAACTGAATATGAAATCCTAACCTAAAATAAAGTCAACAATTGATCATAACTACTGATTGGAAATTCAAGATCCATGGAATATATATATATATATATATATATTATAAATTTATCATAGACACATATATGTATATATACATTTACACGTCAAAATAGGAACATACATATAAAAGCATGCTCAGCTCTTTCTTTTACCACGATAATGCAAATCCATCACTGTTCCTATTCACACAATCCAAAACTTCATAATTAGATGCTAAAACAAATCATTCTTATACATATACACATTCATACATACATATAATACATATATATGTAGTACCAATTTCAAGCGGCAAAGTATCCCAGATGGTAAATAGGTTCAAGGGTAAGGTCAAGTTCATTCCTCCTCACTTCAGTTGCCTCTTCCTGGTAAGTGCTATTGCATCACAAATCGTAGAAACAAGTTATGATCACACCATTTTTTATATCCAAATCTACTTTGGTTGGATGCAAATCTACGTTACTTCAACTTTTCATTTTTTTTACAATGAAAACGTATGGAAGTCGCATACCCTTATCTGATTCAAGAGCAAGAAGAAATGTTACCCGATATTCAAACAAGGATGCGGTGGCGGCGGCGGCGGCGGCTGAGGCAGCAGAAAAGATGATGTGTTGAGGCCATGTTCTTTCTGCCCCCACTGTGACTGCTGCGCCACTGCCTTCTCCCTTTCCTTGATCTGCAAATACCAACTCAAGCTCTTTATTCTTATTAGCTCTTAACTATACATCCTAGTTCATACACTGATGTGCGGTGTCGTGTGAATTACTGATTGTGTATAAGTTCATATAATATACTACGAAAATTACGTTTTCCGAATTCGAACACATATTATGAAACCTAGAAGACAAAATTCACCTGCTTTGCTAGCATGGCGTTTTGCTCCTGTATCGCCTTCTCCTGTAACAAAATCATTTTCGTAATGATATATACACAAGTTAATGAATAATATACATGAACATCTATACATACATGTATATAACTTTATATATATATATATATATATCAATGATTGACAAGCAGACCATATGTTTTGAGAGGCTTTACCTTTCTCTGAAGCTCAGAGATAGATTCGCAAATGAGTTGGTTCTGCAGAGATCCATTATTTCATCATTAAAACAACATTAAGACAGTTCCAATTGAATGATAAGAAAAACCCTTATAAAAAAAAAAGCATACTTTTCTAGATCGAATGTGTTTAATAGCAGTATCAAGCTGCTGTTCCAAGTTCTGCAGCTCCTTGAGACTCAGTGAGTCTAAATCTTCTCCCATATAGTTTCTGGAATGTTTAAGAATTAAGATTAATGTTGAATATATTATTGAACATATAATCATGTACCACGCTCATTCAAGTTAAAATAACATAATTTTTAGTATCCCAAAAATGATCTGTTCAACCTACGTTACTAGGGTTAGTCTTTTTTTTATTATATAAGATACATTCTTGTAAATATATGGGGGGAAGACATAATTGTAAATTGAATAAACTTATGTCGAACGCATATTTAAATTCAACACTTCCGAATTTAGATAACATAATTTATAAATTTAAATACCTATGATTTTTCTGCAAGAGTTCAACCTTGGCCTTAAGTCTGTTATACTCCATAGACCAATTACCCTGCAGAACATGATTAACACTTTTTTATGCTATTTGCTCTCTCTCTCTCTCCCTCTCTCTCTCTCTATACATGCATACATACATACATACATATATATATACACCTGAGGTTGAGATTCTATGGCAACAAGCTGTCTCTCAGCATAAGAATACCTTTCGTATCGTTCAAGTATCTTCTCCATACTAAAAAACATACAGAAGACGCAAATTCTTAATCCTAAAGTCTGTATATATGATTTTTCTTTTTGTTCTTTTGCATGTATTTGTAAAAATTAATGTTATAATCAAACAATCTTTAACAAGTCAAGCACCGACAAAAAATTACTAAATAAATTATACTAATAAATTAATAAATAGTTAGATAAAACTACACTTCATAATTTAGTATATATAAATGTTTACTTTTCATTTTCAGAAGAAAAAAGAGTTTACTGTTCATGATTATAGGGTGTGTAAATTTTTTCTGTATACTAAAAAATATATAGAATTTGTGGTATGAATAAGGAATTTTTTAATATATACGTGAGTTATTCCATTTTAGTTTAGAGCTAAGCTAAAAGAATTGAATATTCAAGATTTATAAATGATATTTTGGGTGTAAATCCCTCTATTTTCCCCTTCAAACTATAAAAAATGTATAAATCATCTTTTAGAGTTTTCTGTTTAGATCTGGGAGTTCGTGAAAAAACCATAAAGGGTTTAGGGTTTGATGAGCTGCTGAGCAGAAAATGTATAGTAATGTACCAGCAAAACATAAAGGCAAAGGAAAATAGGGTTTCAAGTATTATCAATTTAGTTCATGTAATTCTTTTGTGTGTGTTTTCTCCTGATTAAGAAAGTTAGGCCATTGGACATGAAAACAAAAAAAATTCAAAAAAGGAAAAAATTAATTGTTCTCCGTTTGGTCAATAACTTGTTTAATTAGCCAGATTTGACAAAGCTCATCCCGAAATTTCCTTTCTTTTGCTACTTTCATGATCCCCCGCTGATGTTCGAATTTCTTTGTTACGTTTTGAGGAGATGTATCTTCTTTTAGTTAAACTGTTAACCTTGCATGAAAGTGAGTTTAAAAGAAAACCCCAGAAACGGCTTAGTTTTTTTTACCAGGAATCAGTGGAGTACTCAAAAAGTTTGCCTTTGAGAGAGAAGACAATCAAAGCAACTTCAGCATCACAGAAAACAGAGATCTCATGAGCTTTCTTCAACAAACCAGCTCTCCTTTTGGAGAAAGTAACTTGTCTGTTGATCTTGTTTTCTATCCTTTTTAAATGAACCCTACCTCTCCCCATTTTTCGAATATCTGAACACCAAAACAAGCAAAACCCAGATCCTTAACACACTAAAAGGAAACAGATCCAAGTAATTGTAAAAAATACTATACCTAATAAGTTGGGGGAACCCTTTTTAGGTTTCAGCTTCTTGTGATTTTGCTAAATATGAAGTGTTTGCAGAGAGTGTGTGGAAAGAAAAAAAACATATATGTAATTTGAAATGGAACAAAAGTAGTGGTTTTAGGGTAAGTGGAGAGAAAAAACCAGAGTGGTTTTAGACTAATGTGCTGTCGGGTTCCCATTGGTCCAGGTTGCTGTCTAGTCGTTACCATTGTTTGGAACCACAATTTTTCATTTTATTGTTTGCTTTTTCTAAAAGATAGGTTTTCTTTTTCACTTCCTTGCTGTATAGGTAATGGATGCTAATTAGGATTGTGTAAAACCGATATCGGATCCAATCCGATCCAAAAATTTCAGATATTTAAAATAGTAATTTGTATTCAATCCGATAATTGGATACCCGATTTTTTCGGATCAGATATCCAAATCCGAATATAAAATTTAATTTGACAAAACATTAATTTTAAAATTTTAAATTTTGTGATTTAATGTTATATAATCAATACTTCTACTATATGTATATATATATAATTACTACACACAATAAATAATTAAATACTCTAATTTTTATTGAGTTAGAGCTTTAATGGGTTAGTGGGATACTAATTTATTAGGCTAAATGTATCTAAAATTTAAAGGGCCAATTTGTTTCTTTAGATTTTCGGATAATTCAAAAGTGGATTTTATCCGATCCGATTATCTGAAAAAAATTTCAAATATCAGATCCGAATTATTCAAAAATTAAAAAATAAATGAAATATCTAAAATTTTGAATCAGATCACTGGATCAACGAATCGTATCAGTTCTTTTGTACACCCCTAATGCTAATAACCTATAATACCATGGTTTGTCACACCCTGCCTGCTGACGGCGGACCTTTTCTTCTAAATATCCAAATGGTAATACATAATGCAGATTTGTACAAAATCTAAGTCTACATTTTGGTAGAAATTAAATTGTTAAATTTTTTTAAAAGTAAAGATTTAAATATAAAATAAAAAAAATTAAAATATAATTTAATTTGTATTTTGATATTTATGGATATCTTATTTAATTATGTTCATATTTAGGTAATTTATTTTTTTCTAATTTAAATTCTAAGTAAATATATTTTAATATATTAATATTCATTATCTGAATTTTTTTTACTTTTAAAGATAATTAATTCGTATTGAAATACCAGTTATCCGCTATTCAAGATAAAAAAAATAACTTCTATATATTAAAATAATATTTAAATTTAAGATACATAATCAACAAGTTTACATATTAAAGTAGATTTTTCTATTCAAATTCAGATATTGCATAAACTGTACATATATAATCCACTTCTACTTTAAGTTCAACATTTAAAAGCTATATTAGAAAAACGAATCAAGCAATCTCAATAATTAAGATATTTGTTATTATTATTTTTTAAAATTTTGATTTCAAACACCACATATGCAGAGACAGATGTTCAACAAATCATAAATCTGATGGTGGAATTGAGTGGCACGTTTGTAGTTTGTTTTTAAAAATGACTTATTTTTCATCAAACCTATAATTAAGTTACGATGTGCTACCCTAAACAAACTATAGATCCGTCAATGAAATTGAGTGACATGTTTGTAACTTTTAAAAGAAAAAATAACTTAGTTATTAACAAACCCAATTAAGTGACCGTAAGTATAATTTACTCGTTCTTATATTGATAATTATTAAAATGCTACTAATTAAATAATTTTTTTATAAAGTCTCAAAGGTTTCATCTTCAAGATTCTAAAAAGTTTTGTTTTATTTGTTAATTTTTTTAATTATAATTATAATTATAATTATATATATATATGATACACTAAGTAAAACTACTAAGTTTTACATCAATTTATAACAATTAGATTGAAATAAATAAATGACTTAAGTTTAATTAAAATTCATAACTCATGAATAAATATTTCTTTAACTCATAGTAAAATAATATTTTTCTTTGCATGGTTTATTATTTAGGGTTTAAGGTTTAGAATTTAAGTAAGAGTTTTAGGGTTTTTGATTTTGGGATTGGGGTAAAAAAGATATTGTTTTACTGTAAGTGAATATTATCTCATATATATATATATATAGGGGTAGGATCCAATTACATTGTGTAAAATGCTTTTAGTTTTACACATTTTTAAGACCATTAGATGAAAGAAATTAAGTTTGAGATTAACAGTAGAAAATGAGGTGTAAAACTCTTTTAGTTTTGCACCTTTTTAAGACCATTGGATTAGAGAAATTAAAGGTTGAGATTAACGGTAGAAAATGAAAAAATATTCAATGAAAAACAAATAAAGATGTAATATCAATCTTTGGTTTCCCTCAATCCAATGGTCCAATAAATGAGTGAAACTAAAGAGTTTTACATAGTGTAAGTGGATTTTAACACACACACACATAGGGATAAGATCCATTTACACTATATAAAACTAATAAGTTTAATTTACTATTTATAACCATTAGATTTAAATAAATAAAGGGCTTAGATTTAACTAAAATTTATAAAACAAAATTATATTTTTCAACTCACAGAAAAATAATATCTTTACCCAAATCCTAAATCTCAAAACCCTAAATCCACTTAACTTTACATAATACAAGTGAATCCTATATATATATATATATAAAAGTTCTTAAAACTATCAACCCTTCATTTAACCAAGTCCTTATATAAATTTTATTCTTATAGATCTTATATTGAATTTCTTATGCAAATAAAAGTAGCTAGTTTTATTAAGAAAATAATCAAAATTATAATAAAGATTTATATAAATGTAAACTAAACACATAATTAGAACATATTCCTATAATCATTGACACAAGAAACTAGTCGTCTGAGATTATACAATGATCATATAAGAAAAATGTTAAAATTTCACCTAAAAATTTAAATAAAAGATATATACGAACATATCAGATTGCAACAAACAAGTTAAAACAGGAGATCAAACTATTGAAACACCATCCACAACTCCCTTCTCTTTCCACCGGAGAAGTCAATTGATCCTCCTCTGAAGAGATTTCCAGCAACTCCCTAGCTGACTTGCTTTCCTTCCAGCTTCTCACATTGCTTTGGTCAATCGAATTATCTGAAAACCCAAGTTCAACAACCCCTACTTCGACAACAGAGTTCCCTATCTGTACTTCCACCACTTCGCTTATCTTCATCCTCTGCTTAGTTGACACCAAAATAGTTAATTTCTCGCAGTCAACTTGGTGGTCCATGTTTTCGCCATAAACTTCGAAAGTACCCCACAGCTTTACAAGCCTCTTCTTGTTACCCCGTTCCAGCATTGTATGTCGATGTTATTCATTATACATAGTCAGTACATCAAATACAAACCTATATATTTTTATTTTTTATTTTAAATGAATAATAAATTCATATATATTAATTAATCGATTAAAGTTAATTACCATTTTATAATTATTGAATAACTATTAAATTTATAATTATATTAAATTTAACAAATAGCATTAATATAATTTCATAGGGATTCACATTTATCATTAAAAAGCATAAAATATGATTTTTTTTTTAATTTGAACTATGAGTGTACCTATAACCTTAGTCAAATAAATGAGTGCAGTATCCAAAAATATCGTCAAATCCCATCATAATTGTTTTCATTTTCTTAGTGTTATTTTCTTTTTCCATTTCCTGTTGAAGGTACAGAAAGTTTCATTGGGTCCATATAACAAATATAGAGAAACCAAGGGAATCTCTCCCTCGTGGGCATAAGCAGTGGAAGCCAATGAAAACTATTCTACTATCACGCATTTTGTCACTTCAATTATTTATTACAAAAATGACGAGTCGGACATTTTTTTATCCACATAAATTTCAATAATTTCGTAATTACAATAAGTTAGAATAATAAAATTATTGTTTATTGACATTATACATAATAAATTTTATTTTATATTAAAAAATAGAGGTAATATTTTATCAAATTAAAAAGTTATATTAAAAATGTAAGAATGTAAAATTATAAAATTTCATAAATTATAAAATTCATGTATCAATAAAAAAATACATAAAATACATAAAAAGTTCGATAGTCTCTTAATACATCAATCCATCCTTGATCGTATTATTGAAGAAGAGGGGACATCACTCATTTGACAAATACAAGAAAAATCTAAAGGGTCTTGATATGGTTCGATACAAGGAATTGTAATGAGGCGAGCACCCAAATGTATTTCTTCTTTATATAATAAGGATTTATATTATTATTAGATATCAAAGTAAAAGAAAAGGAAGGAGAACCACTTATTTTTTAGTGAGTGGTGAATATTTTTTTAGAGTTAACGGATTTGATAATTAAATTTGTCAATTTTAATTGTGGTATTTGTGTTTTTTAAGCAATTTGGTATTAGAATTTTTCATTATTATAAAAAGTGGTACATGCGTTTTTCTTTGAATAAGATCGGTACTTACATTTGTTAAACATTACATAATTAATACTAATATTTATCAAACATCACACAAAATGGTTCGTATTAAATAAATTAAATAAAAATAATAAACTTTTAATTAAATTATCTAAAATCACATAAAATGATTAATATTAAATAACTTAAAAGTAATAAATATATAAAATTTAAATTATAACAAATTACAATATGGAATCCACTTATGCTTTCAAACATTTGATACTGGTTTAATAAATTCAAGTACTAAATGTATAATATTTTATAATTATAAGCAGGTCGGTCCTCATTATTTTAAGGCTTGAGGTGAAAATAAAAAAATGGTCCCTAATATCAAAAAATTTAAGAAATATGTAATATAAAAATTTAATATATTTTTTATTAAATTAAAAAAACATTAAAAATTCATTACAGTATAAAAGATGTCAAAAATAAGAATACAAATACTTATAAAACAATATAACATTCGATCATTTTTATGCAAAACCATTGATGATAATATCAACATCAATGTTTTTCAATATATTTTTCTCAATACATATCATATCATTTGAAAATGAAAGAACAATCTTATCGAAAATTTGAAAATATATAAAATTAAAAGAAAGAATTTGAAAACGTTATATACCTAGAATTTTAAGAACAAACTTCAATATGATTCAAACACCATCATTGATAATAAACAATAGTGACTTTACGTGTGAGAGAAATATGATAAATTAAAAAATGAGAATAATAATTTTCAGATGAATCATGAACATGAAAGAGAAAAGAAGCATGCTAATTATACTTAAATTTTTTCCTCTCATTAAGTTTTGAAAAAAAATAATGTTAATAAAGTTAATAAGTTTTTTCATTGATATGAAAAATCGGGAAAGAGATTTGGTGAATTGATAGTGGGAATTTGGAAAGACCAAAATTAAAGAGTTCAATTGATTTTTTTTATTTTGAGAAAGAAATATTGAATTAGAATTTTATGGAAGAACAATTTATTATCGTTAATATAAAAATCAATAAAAATAATTGGCACCTTAATAAATTCATGGGACCTATTATTTTATTGAGTAAATTGTTGTTTAGTACCTAAACTTTCATTTTTTTCAAAATAATACATAAAATTTAGTTTTTGTTTCATTTTAGTATCTACAGTTAAAAACTTCAGTTTTTTTATTTCATTTTAGTACACATTTAAAATTTAACGTTAAGTTTAATTTTTGTTGTTGAAAATTTAGGTACTAAAACAAATTAAAACTGATAGTTAGATACTAAAGGTGTTAAGTTTTTAACGACGTGATACTAAAATGAAATGTAAACTAAACGTTAGATATGATTATGAAAAAATAAAAAACATTAGATGCTAAAACGGATCAAAACTTATATTTTATGTACTAAATGCATATATTACCCTATTTTGTTTTACAATTTTTAATTTATTATCAAAAATATAAAAAGAATACACTAAAAAAATTTATTTTGTGGGCCGGAGGACACCCCCGACCCTGGCTCTGGGCCGGCCCTGATTATATGGATCAAATTGGTCAAAAAAGCATGTATCACAACCGTAAAAACGACAATTTCAAGTGTCAAATATTTAATTAATATAGATAGTAAATTGATTAAAAATATATGTATAAATGATATTTAATTAGATAATATATGTATAAATGATATTTAATTAGTTAATATATGTATAAATGATATTTAATTAGTTAATATATGTATAAATGATATTTAATTAGTTAATATATCAAGGTGTGCGGCATTGAATTTCAGGGCAACTTTATTCAGGCCTCAACGTCACATAGTTCCGTCCTAGGATATATGGCAGATCTTAGACTCAACTTTCGCTTGAAAAGACAAATACCTGTACCACTTTTACATTTGCTATGTTAATCTTTTTCTAAATGAATATAAAATATAAATATATATTATGTGGTCTACGCTTACATTTACCAGTTTTTTCTTTTCATAATTGAATAGTGTTTAAGCATTTTAACTCTAACTCAACCTTTTTTCTTAAATCTATTTGAACACCAATGAATGGCATAAATGGGTGTAGTGGCCAAGTGTTTGAAGGTTTTTTTTTTAAAGGGCTTGAATTTAAATTCTAAGTCAAAAGCTAATGTTTTAATTTCTCAATTATAAGATCAATTAAATAGTGTCATTATAATATGATCAAACTTGTGACCAGAGGACGTTTTTTTTTGGTTGCAAGAAAAGCCTCCAAGTGATCAGTGGGTTAACGCATAAGCTAAACTAGCATTATAAACTTGGAGCAGAGGTTGGATCTCCCTCAGAGTAATATACATATAGAGCAGATCAAGTGAGTCCATTCTTCCACTTCGAGCAAGGGTATCAGCTACGGAGTTAGCTTCTCGTTGAATGTACATTGTTTGCACACTCCAACGTTTATCGAGGAGTGCTCGGATACGTCTGATAAGGGCATTCCCATGGCACCGTTTAGAGGAATTAATCTGTCGAACTGCCACGTTATTATCCATCTCCAAGATGATGTTGCGGTGGCCAAGATCCCAAGCGACATTTGGACCGTCTAAGACCGCCCACAGCTCGGCTTGATATATGGGGCATAAACCTATATATCGATGATATCCCACGACCGACCGGCCAGCATTATCACGAATGACCCCCTCACTGGTTGCTTCCATGGAAGGTTGATGAATCGATCCATCACAGTTTGGGAGTTGCTTCTGTTTCCGCGGACTTAGATCCCGATTGCCACTAGTGTTCTCCAGCTTTATAGCTTTGGCCACGTCCAAGCTGACTTCAACATTTCTTGGGTAAACCAGATTTGTCCCTGGAAGACAGTTATTCCTTTGCTTCCAAAGTCTCCAAATCAATATGCCAAAGATGTGCCTCCAGTCATAATCCACGTGGCCCCATCCTGTATTATGAGAGGTTAGCATTGAGCCATTCAAAAATGTAAGTGGAAAAAGAAACTTATCTTCGCCTGGTGATAACTCCATAAAAAAGGCTACTTTTAAGGTATTTTCACTTAAATTATTGTTTGTGTAAGGGTTCATTTAGGTCATTTTAGATGCATGTAACTGCATATAGTTTTATTTGTGGTAATTGTATTATTTTATTTTGTTAAAGTGTTGTATGACGATGAAGGTGTGGTTTTTAGTGATGTGTAGGAAATAACAAGCAAAAAGGGCGAGTTGGGAAAGAATGTCGTGACATCACATATTGCTGAAGCAGATTAAAATGCCTTGGCATTTCTGGCGCAAAAAAGGACAAAAAGATATTTTCACTAGAGGACATCTGTCACCGTACATGTCCACTGCTTGTAACCGCCTGATGGTGACCACTACCACCTGTAGACATAAGCTTCACACCCAAGGAATGAATATGGGGGATGATGGGTATTTTGAGTGCAAAATCCTAAGAATACCCTTAGATATTTTTATGATTAACGGAAGCCTCGCAAGAAATAGAAATGGGGCCACTCTAGCAGAAAAATCTTCATCTTTTTCATCTTCTCCACCGTTCTCTTCACTCCATTTTTAGTAGTGTTCATGCATTAACGAGCTCTAAAGAGTGGCGTGCTAGGCGTCTGAGAAGAGCTAGCGAGCTAAGGCGGTTCGTGGTGGCCGAGGAGAGATCCGACAGTTCATGTCGAAGGTTTTTTTCCTCCTTCCCCTTTGATGTTATTCTCATTTGATTTGGGTTACAAGGAACGAATGGATTTTATGATTTATTTCATGGATTATTCGAACCCCACTATGAACTAGCTTTATTTGGTAGGAGTTCACGATGGATGCTTAAGTTCTTTCTTTAATGGATGATTGTTCTTTTCTATGATTTTATTTTTTGTTTATGGTGCTTAATGTCTTAAGGTTGTAGAGCTATGAGAGTAGTCATTCCTTAGCAAAATACTTAGTGTTCGAGAGAAACTAAGTAGCCCATCTTTAGTGTTCGAGAGAAACTAAGGAGGATCAACATAAGCAATGGGTTTTAGATACTAACTAAGCCTAATCCAAATTTAAACACAAGGCTAGAATTTCAATCGACTAAAAGAAGTAGTGCTCGTTCGAGAGGGTAGATGTTAATGCAAATACTGAATGGTATTGACATGACATATTCTGCTAGACTGATAGGATCCCTGCACCTTCTAACGCCAAGAGGTATTCCCAAGACATTCTTAACCCGTCGAGTCCCTTGAATAGAGATAACATAGGGCACCTTTAGTAAACTTTGTCGGGCAAGTAAAACATAGAAGTGAGATCATCCTGAGAAGTTAGACTTAAGTTTCCCAAGTGACTCATATCATTAAGTCCCATAGTAGCTTGTTGTACGAGGTTTATCAAGCCATTCTATTCAAATCCAATATTTACCTTTTTGTTTTGCCTTTACATTTTCATTTGATTTCACTACACACACTTTATTTTTCCACTACATCTCCATTTGCTACCACATCACACTATCATTCAATCCCCACCAATACGTATTGCCTTGACATTTTTCATTGGTACATATCATCACACTAACTATACTTAGATAAAGTAGTTCTTTGCTTTGGTTAAAGTCATAAATTTCTATAATCCCTATGGAGACGATACTCACTCATCATTATATTACTTTTTCGATTGTGTATACTTGCACATCATTTGCGTATAAATTTATAATACTCACAACACAAAACTAGTTTTGGGTCGTTGCCGGGGATTGACAATGTGAAGTTAATTAGTTTTGCCATAGCATTTTATTTTTTCTTCTTTACTTTTGTACGGTTTAATTCATATTTTACTTTATTTTTTTAGGCTTATTTGGTGTATTCCTAGAAGACATTCTAATGAGCCATTGGAACCAACTGAGACTGAGATTGAGAGACTTTTTTGGTAAAGGAAACGTGCTAAAAAAATATGTATCAAATTAAGAACCAGGGCATTGGTCAAGATGACTGAAATAAGAATGTCGAGGTATTCAAAAATGTTGGACCTACTAATAGGCCTCGTGCTATTCATGATCATTTGAATCCTATACTAGATGATTTAAATCCTGGAATTATGGTACCCGAAATTCAAGCAACCCATTTTGAATCAATCCAGTCATGTTTAAAATGTTGAATTCCATAGGGCAGTTTGGGGGCATGCCAACTGAAGATTCCAGGCAACATATTTGTAACCTTTTGGAGGTTTGTGATTCTTTCCACCAACAAGGAGTGCATAGGGATGTGCTGAAATTAAATTTATTTACATACTCTTTATATGATTGAGCAAGGGCTTGGTTGAGCGATGTTCCATATGTTTCGATGGAATCATGGGCTGATCTTTACAAAAATTTCCTATTGCGCTATAACCCATCGAACATGAGCACTCGGCTAAGGAATGACAAAGCAACTTTTCGCCAGGGCGATGATGAATCTATATATGAATGTTGGGATCGTTACAAGAGTTTTCTTTGAAAGTGTTCTAATCATTTTTTTCAAGATTGGACTCAAGTAGTTATGTTTTATAATGGAGTTAATGTACCCACGACGATGATGCTTGATGCCTCAACAAATGGGACATTGCTTGATAAACCACGCACTGAGGCGTTTCCTATTTTGGTTAGAATTGCCAACAATGACTATCAATTCCCTTTCTCAAGGCTTGGAAAGGCACCTGGGGCATTCGAGTTAGATACCAAGGACTCGGTGTCCACTCAACTCTCAGCTATCACTAATATGCTAAAAAATTTACAACGCTCCATCGAGGTAAAAGAAGTGAAAGCAACTAGCTTGGCATGTCTGTTATGCCAAGGCTATCATCACGAGAGAAAATTCTCAACCAATCATGAGTCCATCAACTTTCTAGGTAATTTTAATCGATGAAATAATAACAATCCCTATTCTAACACTTATAATGAAGGATGGTGTCAACACCCTAAATTATCATGCGGTAATGAAAGAACCCATAATGCTACTCAACCTACTCGTCAGCTGAATTACACTGAATCTCAAGGCTACAAAAATACTACGCCGTGGAAAAATGCTAACAAAGGAGCCTCATCTTTAGCAAGCATTAGTTCTTTGGAAGCTACGATCCAAGATTTCATATACACTATGAAGACAATTCTGGAAGACCATTATACTTCAATTAAAAAATAAAGGAACTTTGCTTCATAGTCAAGGCGCCTTACTTCAAAGCCATAACTCATCTTTGAGAGCTTTGGAAGGTTAAGTTGGTCAGATTACTGTGGCATTGCAAGAGTGTCATCAAGGACGATTTCCAAGTGACATTGAAGTCACTAAATCTTTTGGAAAAGAGCAATGCAAATATTAACTCTTAGGAGCGGACTGAAGATTAATAGCAAATCAAAGTTGGGGGAACACAATATGATGATCCTATCCCCATTGTTGAACAAGTTGAATCTAACTTACACATGATATCATTACTGAGAAGGATAAGGAGGAAGGTTATACTAGTGATCCTGCCGAAGCACTAAATTCTATTGCCAAGCTAAAAGCAATTGTGACTCCCGCAGTTAAGGAAGTTATACCCCACCCCCTTCCCGCAAAGACTGAAGAATCACAATGATGAAGTTCAAATCAAAAAGTTCGTGGACATTTTGATCAGCTCCACATTAATGTACCTTTCTTGGAAGCTATTAAACAAATGCCACTTATGCCAAATTTCTTAAGGAAATTTTTACCAAGAAAAGGAAAATTGAGAAGTATGAAACATTTGCCACGATAAAAGAATAATGTTCCTTCTTGAGTAAATTGCCACCAAACCAAAATGATCCTAATAACTTCATTATTCCCTATTCTATTGGAGCTAATTTCGTTGGAAAGGCACTATGTGATCTTAGTTCAAGTGTGAACTTAATGCCGAAATATATATTTTTGAAGCTTGGCAAAAGATATGTGAGACCCACCTCTGTGATTTTATATATCCCATGTTAGACCTTAAGGGAGAGTCGAGGATGTCACAGTGAAGATGGATAAATTTGTGTTTCCAGTTGATTTGCTTATCATTGACTGTGAAGTTGATGCCAAGGCGCCCATCATCTTGGGCATGCCTTTCCTAGCCACATGTCGTATTATGATTTATTGCGAAAAATGTGAACTTACCATGAGAGTGCCACCAATGGACGACTGTCAATGTTTTTCGTACTCTCAAGTATGCTGTGACCCTTAAGAATGCCAAGGCTTTTTTTTAAATGAATTCATTGATTGAAGAAGAAACCAAATAACTTTACCAGAACACTTTCATTCAGCTAGCGGATAAGGATTGTTTGATTGATGATGAAATGCTTAGAAGACCACAAAAAATTACCAGCTGGGGTGGAACAATCTAGCGTACTACTAGCTAGACTAGGTATGAACTTTGAACCCCTGGATTTTGATGAATTTATTCCTCCTAAGCCATCGTTATTACATGCACTTACCCTAGTGCTTAAACCTTTTATAGGGCATCTTAAATATGTTTATTTGGGAAGTAATAATACTTTACCTGTGATTATTTCCTCTAACCTTACCAATAACTAGGAGAAAAGTTTGTTAAGTATTTTGTTGCAACATAAAAAAGCGTTTGGTTGGACTATGGCTGATTTAAAGGGGATTAGTCCTACGATTTGCATGCACAAGACCCTGCTAGAAGAATGCCATGGCAACTCGATAGAACCACAATGAAGACTTAACCCCGTTATAAAGAAAGTGGTGATGAAAGAGATACTTAAATGGCTTGATACTGGAGTGATTTACCCTATATCTAATAGCTCATGGGTAAGTGATGTCCAATGTGTGCCAAAAAAGGTGGCACGACCGTAATTACTAATGACGATAATGAACTATTGTCCATGCACACTATCACTGGATAGAGGATATGTATGGATTATTGTAAGTTCAACAAAGTTACAAAGAATGACCATTTTCCACTACCATTTTCCACTGCCATTCATTGATTAAATATTGGATCAATTGGTAGGAGAAGCATTCAACTATTTCTTAGATGGATATTCTAGGTACAATCAAATTGCCATCGTAGCTGAGGACAAGGAGAAAACTACATTCACTTGTCCCTATGGCAATTTTTCCTTTAGGAGGATGCCTTTTGGACTCTGTAATACCCCACCAACTTTTTAGCGTTGCATGCAAACCATCATTTCTGATATGGTTGAGGAATTCCTTTAGATATTCATAGATGATTCTTGTTTCTGGGGACGACTTCAAGCGATGCCTTGGCAATTAGGTAAAAGTTCTCAAGAGATGTGAGGGGCTGGTCTAGTTTTAAACTGGGAGAAATATCACTTCATGGAACTGAAGGCATTATTTTAGGGCATAAGATATCTCACAAGGGCATTGAGGTGGATAAAGAAAAAATTGAAGTTATTGAAAAATTACAACCGCCTACCTATGTCAAGGGCATAATGAGTTTTCTTGGACACGCTAGCTTTTATAGAAGATTTATCAAGAACTTCTCTAAAATCTCTAAGCCCTTTTGCACATTACTTCAACACAACCAACCCTTTGTGTACAATGAATTATGCCTAGGATTATGCCATAGGAGCTGTTTTGGGGTAACAACAAGGTAAATTTTTTCATGTCATATACTATGCTAGTCATACCTTAATAAATCACAAATGAATTACACAACCACTGAGAAATAATTACTTGCCATAGTTTTTTCATTTGACAAACTTAAACCATACCTAATAGGCACTAAAGTTATTGTTCACACTGATCATTCAACTATAAAATACTTAGTGAACAAAAAGGATGCCAAGACTAATTAGGTGGATTTTACTTTTACAAAATTTGAGTTAGAGGTTTTAGATAGAAAAGGAACTGAGAACCAAGTTGATGATCATTTATCTAGGCTAGAGAACAAGTCTGAATGCCATGACACTTTAGATATTCAAGAGGAATTCCCTGATGAGAAAATTTTATAAGCCACAGTAGTTTGTGCTACGCTGACCTTGTTAATTTTCTTGTTAGAAGTATATTGCCTTTTGATTTGAATAGTCAGGGCAAGAAAAAATTTAAGCATGATGCAAGGTTCTAATTTTGGGATGAGCCATATTTATTCAAACATTGTGTTAATTAGCTCATTAGACGATGTGTACCTGAAGAGAAACAACAAGACATTTTATAGCATTGTTATACGACCCAAAGTGGAGGCCATCTTGGAGGAGCAAGGACCACTGCCAAGGTTCTGCAGTCAAGATTTTATTGGCCAACTCTGTTCAAAGATGCTCAGGCATTTTACAAGTCCTGAGATCGATGCTAATGCACTGCGAACATATCCAGGCGACATGAAATGCCACTGTAAGGCATTTGACGTTTGGGGCATTGATTTCATGGGACCATTCCCATATTCTTTTGGTAATTTGTACATTTTGTTGGTCGTGGATTCTGTATCCAAGTGGGTGGAGGTAATTGCGACATCAAAGAACAATTCCAAAACCGTACTTAAGTTTTTGCATAAACACATCTTCACTCGGTTTGGAGTACCTCAAGACATCATTAGCGTTGAAGGAACCCAATTTGATAATAAGTTATTGCTAAGACATTGAGAAGATATGAAGTTCATCACAAGATCATCACGACATACCATCCACAGACGAATGACCAAGTTGAAATATCCAACCACAAGATTAAGCATATCTTAGAGAAAGTGGTGAATCCAAGGCGGAAGAATTGGTCACCAAATTTAGATGAGTCACTATGAGTATATAGAACAACATTCAAGACTCCTCTGGGCATGTCACCTTTCAAGTTGGTGTATGGGAAAGATTGCAACCTCTATGTCAAGCTAGAACATAAAGCGTATTGGGCCATTAAGAGCCTAAATTACGACGCTCAATTAGCAGGAGAGAAAAGATTACTGGAACTCAATGATATAGAAGAGTTTAGGGAACAAACATATGAGAATGCCAGGATATACAAGGAAAAGACTAAAAAGTGGGATGACCAAAGGATGATGCCACAATATTTTGAAGTTGTCCAACAAGTGTTACTTTACAATTCAAGCCTTAAGCTATTCCCTGGAAAGCTCAAATCCCGATGATCAGGACCATTTAAGGAGCATCATGTTTATCCCCATGGAGCAGTTGATATAAAAATTTGGACAACAGGACGATCTTTAAGGTCAATGGTAAATGCCTGAAAGTTTAAAATGAAGCTCCAATGAAGAGTTAAAAGTTGGGCTATATCTGCATGAGTCTGAGTGTGCTTGAACCATGAACAAAAATTCAATGCCACGAATTTGAATTCCGTTGATTGTGCATAAATAACAAATTTATTTTTTCTTTATCTTTATTTTTATTCGTAGATAATGACAATTTGTTTTGTACTGTAGGGACCCATAGTACCCAGGGATGTACGAAGGAGCGATTACTAAGGGGAAAAAAAGACAAAGCAATTAAAGGGGGAAATATTCTTTTATACTTTATTTATTTATTTATTTTATTTTATTTCCAAAACTTTATTTCTCTCTCTTCATTGTCCTTTCACATCACATTTAATTTTACAATTTTTTTCTTTTTCCCACCTACCCATTTACCTCATCCACTCATTTCTTTTCAACATTCCACTCACTCCATTTTACCTATTATTTCTTTTAACTTTTCTTTATCACCTTCTTCTTCTCTCATTTTCCTCTATAACCGACATCATTAAAGCAAAACAAGCTCTCAATTTTTTTAAATTTTTCCTTCAAACCGCTACAAAAATGGTACGATCCAGACCTGCAGAAGCTGAAACTACTATCCCTCAGCAGTTTATAGACAATGCAACAAATGTGCGATTTCAAAATTTCAAGAACCGTAAGCTTTTCTCGAGTGGGGGTTCGTCTTCACAGAGGAACAAGTGTTGGTTTTTGACTAGACGTGATGGACGTTGTTGAGCCATTAAAATGGAACAAGTTTGCAAGGTACCCTAGCCCAATTAATGCCTCTTTAGTGAAGTCCCAGAGGATTTATGTTTTTCGAATACCACTTTGAGCAGCCACCGGACTAGCCATCGCACTAAGACATTGGTGGGGCATGTTAATATTGCTCACTATCATTCAACTTCTTTCGATTCCGTCCTTGCACCTCTCTGAAAGAGAACAAGACTTGGAGTTGCATGCACCTCCACCGTAACACTGCCACCACCATAAAAAATTAGGTTCCTCATTTTGTACTCATTTAGCACTCATTTTGAATTAAATGACATTGCATTTAGTTTAAGTAATTAATTGATTTTCTTAAGGATTGAGGATAATGCTTCTCCCAAGTCTTTGTAGAACACATGCATTATAGTGTTAGCATAATATTTTGCCATGGCATCAGTAAGTAGTAGGACAATTAAACAAAATGTTTTGGTGATAACTGATGATAATGAACTTTTTAGGCTAGAAATTGAATGTAAATGACTGTTGAGAATGATATAACTAACTCTAGGGTTTGATACTTTGTGAATTATTCTTACACGATTGTATGTTCTTATACTTATGGAATTTAGGAAATATTTATGAAAGAAATCTAGTTAGTTTTTGCATTGAAATTTGGAATTATACTGAAAAATAAATAAATGAGAACTCCCATATGTTTAAAATTGTGAATAAATGTTTCAGCATAGTTGTAGGGGTACACTTTGTGAATTATTCTTACACGTTGTATGTTCTATACTTATGGAATTTAGGAAATATTATGAAAACTAGTTTTTTTTGCATTGAAATTTGGAATTATACTGAAAAATAAATAAATGAGAACTCCCATATGTTTAAAATTGTGAATAAATGTTTCGCATAGTTGTAGGGGTACACTCCTCTTTGTCGTGGCAGTGCCTAGAACTTTCTTTAATAAATGAAAGCCATGTGCGTATGAGTGAATTAAAGAAGTCACAAGATGACTCTACTTAACTAACTTGGGGGTGGAAGGTATGTTGCCTTTCACCTAGAGTGTGGGATTAGTGTGATGGACTGACTCTCCTCGTAGCATTTGAAGAAAGCGTATTAAGTAAAAAAGGAGTATAAATATGCTGAATAAATGAGAAATGAAGGGGAAAAACTAGGGAAATTAATTATAAATTGCTTAAATTTTTTAAGTATATATTAGATACAATCACGCACACACTACCACAAAGAATCTTGACCTAGGGAAAAGTAATTGATTTCTTGATATGTTTACCATGTTGAAGCCATTTTTTCTGAGGGTTGAAATTCTATTTTTGTCTTGACTATCTTGCTGTTGAAAATTGCCATGACATTATGTTTGTGTTAATTGCTATCCATTACTTAAGGATAAGCAATAGTTTAAGTTTGGGGTGTGATAACTCCATAAAATGGCTACTTTTAAGTCCATTTTAACGTAAATTATGTTGTTTAAGGGTTCATTTAGGTCATTTTAGATGCATGTAGCTGTATATAGTTGCATTTGTAGTGGTATTATTTTATTTTGTTAAAGTGTTATATGAGGAGGAAGGTGTGTTTTTTAGTGATGTGTAAGGAATAATAAGAAAAAAGGACAAGTTAGGAATGAATGTCATGGCATCACAGATTGCTGAAGCAGATTGAAATACCTTGGCATTTCTGGCGCAGAAAAGGACAAAAAGATATTTTTATTAGAGGTCTGCTATCACTATATGTCTCTGCTGCTTGTAACTGCCTGATGGGGACCACTTCCACCTGTAGAGATAAGTTTCATTCCTAAGGAATGAATCTATGGGTATATGGATATTTTTAGCAAAATCCCAAGAATACCCTTGGATATTTTTATTATTAAAGGACACCTCACAAGAAAGAGAAATGGGGCACACTCTAGCAGAAAAATCACCATCTTCTTCATCTTCTCCACCGTTCTTTTCCCTCCATTTTTAATGTGTTCCTCCATTAACGAGCTCTAAGGAGTGGCGAGCTAGGCGTCCAAGAGGAGCAAGCGAGCTAAGGCGGTTCGTGGTGGCCGAGGAGAGTTACGACAGTGCACGTCGAAGGCTTTTTCCTCATTCCCCTTTGTTGTTGTTTCTCATTTGATTTGGGTTGCAAGAAAAGAATGGATTTTATGATTTATTTCATGGATTATTCGAACCCCACCATGAGCTAGCTTTATTTTGGGGAGTTCACGATGGATGCTTAAGTTCTTACTTTAATGGATGATTGTTCTTTTCTATGATTTTATTTGGTTTATTTATAATGCTTAATGTCTAAAGATTGTAGGAGCTATGAGAGTAGCCATTGCTTAGGAAAATACTTAGTGTTCGAGAGAAACTATGTAGCCCATCTTTAGTGTTCGAGAGAAACTAAGGAGGATCAAAATAAGCAATGGGTTTTAGATAGCAACTAAGCCTAATCCTCCTTTAAACATAAGGCTAGGATTTCAATTGACTAAAAGTAATAGTGCTCGGTTGAGAGGGCAGATGTTAGAGCAAATACTGAATGGTATTGTCATGACATATTCTGTTAGAGTGATGTGATCCCTACACTTGCTAATGCCGAGAGGTATTGCCATGGCATTCTCAACCTGTCGAGTCCCTTGACTAGAGATAGCATAGGAAACCTTTAGTAAACTCTATCGGACAATTAAAACATAGAAGTGAGATTATCCTGAGAAGTTAGACTTAAGTTTCCCAAGTGACTCATATTATTTATTCCCATAGTAGCTTGTTGTGCAAGAATTATCAAATAATTCTATTCAAATCCAATATTTACCATTTTGTTTTGCCTTTACATTGTCATTTGATTTCACTACACACTTTATTTTTCAACGATATCTCCATTTGGTACCACATCACACTATCATTCCATCCCCACCAATACTTATTGCCTTGACCTTTACCATTGGTACATACCATCACACTAACTATACTTAGATAAAGTAGTTCTTTGCTTTGGTTAAACTCATAAATTTCCAACAATCCCTGTGGAGACGATACTAACTCATCATTATATTACTTTTTCGATTGTGTATACTTGCACATCATTTGTATATATTTTTATAGTACTGAAGGCACGCAACACCTAGGATGTCAGAAGTTGTTCCCAAGCGGTCTGAGCCACTTGATAGTCGCAGATTATTTGTAAAAATATTTCTTCGGTACTGGAGCAGACCGAGTATTAGGGGCTTGAAACGATTCAGCTCTTAGCTCATTCTGTGTTTATCATGATCATTTGATGGAGGACGAACCAATGGAAGTGATGAACATGTTGAGGACCATCATAGTTCTAAGCCGTATTCCAGCTATTTCTTTGAGCATTCCATCGGTCATGCTGAATGTGGTTATACATTGATTTAACCGAGCATTCCCCTATTTGATCCCAACACCATTGAGTCCAGTACTTGGAAAGATCATCTCTGGGAGGGGATAGCTACCGTCCGTTTAAACATAGCTTCATCTAAGGCACACTGGAGGAGCTGATAGTTCAAGTGACCATCATCCGTGGCAAAATACTGAATAGTCTCTTAGATAGTAAACAAGGAGGGGAATACAGTATGACCCATAAGTGGGTCGCAATCGGAATCCACACATCCTTCCAAAAAAGAGTGCTTCTCCCATTACCTATGGACCAAAAGATGTTATCAGGAACAAGAGCCCATATGCGATAAAGATTTCCAAATAAAAGAACCATTTCTAGCATTAATAGAATTTTTCATGTTTCCTTGTATTCAATATTTAGAGTGAAGAACCTGGACCCATAAACATCATGTTTCGTGATAATGTAAAACCCCAACTTGACCATAAAAGCAGTGTTTTGAGCATGCACATATATGATTTCAAGGCCCCCACACGCGAGAGGTTGGCAGCAGTTGCTCTAACTTACCAGAGCCAGTTTATGAGAGCTATTGGATACTCCCAAAAAGAAGCGACATGCAATTATTTTAATATGATCATACACACTTTTAGGGATGGAGGTTGTCTGCATAAAGTAATTAGGAATAGCGAACATAGTAGCTTTGGTGAGGGTCACCCGTCCTGCCATAGACAGTTTTGTGTCCAACCAATGATTAAGTTTATTGTGGACTTTGTCAATTACAAATTGAAAGGTATCCTTTGTAGCCCTGCTATGGAAGAGGAGCATACCTAGGTACT